ATGTGGCCTAATGTGAGTCTATTTGGGATCATTGGAATGATCAGCAGCATTTCTTGATGTGACTTTATGGCAGTTGCCCAGGGCATCATCACAAGGAGGATGGCATTCATTTGTTTTATTTGGTATTTTTTCAGTCATTTTTGGAAATAGTGATCAATTTTGATTAATTCACGGCCTATGTTTAATTACATTTAAAATAAATGTCAACAGATGAGATCAAACAAAACAGATGAGAATTGCCCTTAAGCTGTTTAACTTGGACCAAGCATTTTAGGTCACAGATAGATGTAGCTTAGGGTCTCTGTCTATACACCTTATAAGACAATTTAGGTGATGGCATGTTGTTTTTCTGCTATTGAACTGTTTTCTAATAATGTTGTGTTAAATAAAGTGAAGGAAGGAGAGAAATAACGTTTCCCTAGCAGTTTTTAAAAATTTCCCCATGTAATCCGATTAATCGATTAATTGTGTCGAGACCCCATCCGATTAATCGATTATCCAAATAATCGTTTGTTGCAGCCCTACAGAGAATCAATAAAAACCAAGTCTGATAACGCCACCAACTTGTTGTATCATAAAGTAATTACATAAAATGGCCAGGGCTGCACTTAAAATATATTTTCTATATTTTTCATAAAGTTTTCAATAATTATTGTTATTGTTATTTTTTTTAATCAATTAACTTTTTCCTATATCATCCAGCCCTGGTACAAATCCAGGCCAAGACCAAAGCGTGTTGATGTGGGACCACCAAGCAGAGGAAACACCAGCTGCAATAACATGCAGCCATTCCCACACATATTTTTACAGAAATAATTGACATGAATGTAAAAGTTTTAACAACTTTCTGTTTAATCTCAGAATTTAAGTTGGTAATGAAATAGGAAATATTAGTAAAACATATAATTATTTTATTTGATGTTATTAATTTTGACTCGTGTGTTTAAAGGCAACCAGTATGCAACAACTCTTTGATCTGGTGTCTTTATTATATGATCAGTGGTTGATCAACTCAAACAAGGACTAATGTTGAATTAGTCACTGGAGCCTTTTGGATGTTGTTAATGTAAATATGTTATATGGGTGACACTCACCATATCTGGCTACCATCATTAATAGAAGTTCCTCTCACAAACACTTGTGATCTAGAACAATGTCAAAACCTCCCATTGGGAAGAAACATTTGTAGTTTATATTTTCATGAAAAATTATAATTTTAGTGTTCATTTGTTTTTGTGTCACTCACTCTCTCTGGGTTACTATCCTCCATAGACTTGATGACTCATAGGAAACTTGATCATAAATACAAAAACACTGGTCTGAGTGTCACCTAACCTCAGAGCTTTTTTGTTTCATCCGTCCTTGTTTTCCCAACAAATGTGAAGTAGTTTTGTTTACAGGCTCTGAAATGTCACGCATCAGTGAATTCTAGAAACCACACATCCGTATCATTTTTCTCTTGTTGAGTCAACCTCATGGTCCTGATCCTTCCAGCTCTCCTTTACACTTTTACATGGAGTTATTTACTGTATTTAAGTGAAAGAAGGATTTGCTTTTATTTTATAAACTGCCAAACCATAATCGGAACTCTCTCTAATTATTGTTTTTCCAAACATCAACCACAAATCTTGCCACGTCTTGCTTGGTTAGCTTCATTAAAACCGGGATTTGGCTTTTACAAAGGGGGTCTGTGCTGAAGATGTTGGTTAATGTTATGAATTTTCATATCAGGTAAGAAAAAGGAAAACTTTTTTCCCACAACATTTTCTGGCTTTACCATTTCCTGTAGAAGATGACTTTGGGGGTAATTTTCCGATGCATGTATTTTTAGTAGGGATGTGTATTGGTGAAATTCTGGTGGAGTCGATACGATATAGCGCAATATATTGTGACACATTCAGCCAGACAATATTAGCAATTTTTTTAGACAGAATTTATCGTAGAAAAATTCAATAAACAGTCCAAACTGATAATTAACAGGTTTAACATGAGGTATCTGAACTGTAATAGAGGGATTTACATTTCAGTGGTGGAAACAAAGCCCATTGCGCTCTGCTGCCAACTAGCTGTCAGTGTTTGAATTGCACCAAAAGAAAAAAACTGCACAAATGTTTTCATGTAAATTCGTCCAAAAATTTAATACACGGCTTTTGAATATTCATACAGTATCGCAGGAAAAGAGATTGTGATATATTGCCATATCAAGATTTTCTTGCATCCCCAATTTTTAGTCTAGTATGAGTCGGAGATCTAAAAACAATTGATGCACTGAGATATCACAGTGTTTTGTTATGATACTGAGTCAACATTTTAAGCAGTGGATCAATTTTTATTGAGAATTTACATGCAAATATTTACTGTATTTACTTCTAGGTGGCAGCAGTTTTTACCACTTTTACTCTGACAGAACAATGGCATCTCGTGAAAACCCTGAATGTGTCTTGGAAGTATCTGGCCCGAGTTTTCCAATTAAATTCAGTTTGAAATGTGCATTATGTAGAAATGAAGTGAAAATGACATCCTGTGGTAAAATCTGTCACATTGCTGCTAGCCAATGAGAGGCGATACATTTGCATATCATGACTATTAAAGAGTAAGACTCACAATACAGTCGATTTCTGCCCCTTATTCCTCCGACAAACTTCAACTCCTTATAGCAGGAGCACCTGAGCTTTTTTTCACAGCAAACGACTCACAAGGCATTCATTCATGCTAGAGACCACAGCAGATTTATTGAGAAAAAAATGGTTGAATGAGACTTTTAATGCAAGTCAAATTGGTTAAATCCAGCATCTCACCAGGATGTTATTGTTGGTGAATAGCTTTATAGTTTAACCACCAAGTGTGTTAATTGTGACTTGGATTTTTTTTTTTTTTTTTTTTTTGCTGTTTATCTCATTTGTTATTTTGTCATCGACCCCTCCCTGGGTTGTGACAGGTAATTCACGATATGATCGAAACCTCATGCTAAGTTAAGTAACTTTCTATTCCGATAAGGATGAACAACACGGTAACCTTTTCTGTCAATTTAGTGAATAGTGAGACTATTGTTTCGATTTGTTGACAGATGTTGAAGACAGTTTAACTTTGGCTTCAGTTACACAACAAACATGGCGTAGGATGACCTTCTCTTTGTTTTTTATTAAATTACTCCTCTTTAACGGCAAACATCCTGGTATGAGCTGTACACACATCAGAGCCCATTATTTGTGCAGTTTAGCTTTACAGAGTCTATGTGTATTTAGAATGCATGTCATCCACCAAGTGGACATGATTTTATTGTCAAAATACAACCATGTTTATAGGAAGTAGCCTGATGCTGCAGAATGCCCCAGACCAGGAGAATACATTTCGCCTCAATATTAAACACACACACACACACACACACACACACACCACAGTCTTTGTCTTTCAGATGATTTCTTGTAGGAGGCTCTGCCTTTTTGCTGTTTCAAATGTCACTAGATGGCTTTTTTCTGATTTGTCACTCAGACATTGCTTTGAGTCTTTATTGGCACATCCTTGAGTAGGATTGATTTCTTATTTTGAAATATTACCTTAAAATATTACCATTAAGCAACAAAACATCTAATTTCTAATATGATGAGATGGGTGATGGTGGCATAGGAGTTAGCCCCGCTCAGTCTGCGGCTGTTGTTGTGCCCCTGGGCAAGACACTTAACCTACCCTGCCTGTGTACAGCCACCTCACCTCTATCAGGGAAAGGGGGGGGGGGGGGGGGGGGGGGTCAGGACTCTAGAAGACTCAATGTCACATACAGGCCATTTACCATGATTTAAACCTTTTCACTTAATCAGACAGTGCCCATGAACAAAAATTAGATGTTTAAGGAATGTTTCTTTGATTTTATTTTGTGACTATCCATCTGTAGTTGATCTGTTTCAAAGGATGACGACACATCAGTTACCAAATTGGTTGTTGTGTAAATCCTGTGATGTAAATAGTAAAGAAATTGAGCCTCTTTGCTGCTTTTTCATGCTTCTTAAATGTGTGTAGAAATGAGTTGGTCATGTTATGGCTGCCTTCAGAACTGGTAGAACCAGGTTCAGGAAGATGAGTTCATTTCTTTCACTTACCCAGTGGACTAATTAGGTGTTTGTTCCAACAGTAAATAAGATAAATGGGTAGGTCCATAGTCCTGACGTTTTTGTTTTGCTTAGCAAAATATCTCATGAACTGCTGGGTGGATTTGAATGGACACAGCCCAAAAGACCTGTTCTTCTTCTCTTGTTGAGTTTGAAGTCGACCCTATAACGCAACACATTCTCACACCCAAGGCATCAAAATATGACGCGTGTGGCCAAGCCTCAATATATGATGATTCGGGACGCCCCAGCGCGTCAGGACACGACATTCATGGACAAACAGCTGACGCAGCGTCCCAGAGCGTCGGTATCCGACGCCGGTGGTGAGACGGGCATTAGAACTACTTGTGAACTACTTAACCTTCCCCTCACCCCAATCCTAACCATAAGGTCACAGTTTATGGACCTTAAGGTTAGGATAGGGGTGAGGGAAAGGTCAAATAGTGGAATAATGTCCGTGTGACCTTGCGCGTCTAACAGAGACGCCAGTGGAGCCACGTGACCCAGCATGTCCCTGATCGTTGTCTACTGACGCGCTGGGGCGTCCCGAATCGTCATATATTGAGGCTTGGTCAAACACGCGCCATATTTTGACACCATGGATGTGAGAATGTGTTGTATAACGGGGTCACCAATGAACCATTTGAAAAAATCTGTTTTCTATAGACATGGACCAAGTTAACCAATCAGTTGTGACTCAGATGTCAGTCATAATGGAGTGAACTCATTTTTTTCTTTTAACTCCAGTTTTCTATCTCACTGACTGACAGAAGACCTTGTAATGAGAACAAAGAGATGATTCCCTTTGGATTATCAGTGGTTACGTTTTTAAGATGATCTAAATGTACCATGGTGTGGGAACTCGGACTCTAAATGTTCTCATAATCTCCTCAGGGTCTAATTACACCATGTCTAATGGGGGCGGGGGCCCCAGCAGCTCTACCCACCTGCTGGACTTCCTGGAGGAGCCCATTCCTGGAGTGGGCACCTACGACGACTTCCACACCATCGACTGGGTCCGCGAGAAGTGTAAGGATCGAGAGAGACACAGAAAGGTAAGGATGAGAATATCAGGATTCTCTTAAATCTAAACGAGACATTTTTATGTAAGAAAAGATCTTTACAGATCGTTACACCTGAGATGTTTGCGTTAGCGGTCTGTTTTGCATGAATCATACACATCCTCCGAACTAACAGTTATCTTCACAATCCGTTCACACAGCCTTAGTAGTACTAAGCTTCAGTCAGCAGTAACAGAAACCCTTCCTGGTGGACAGGAAGCTTCAGGCTTCCTCCTGCTTAAAGGATTATTCCACCTAAAGTTGAAATTTTATCTGACCCTTTTCCCAGAGTTAGATAAGTGGAGAACAAAATTTGAACCAGTCATTCTCCTGACCTGGTTGTTCCCCTTTAGCTTTAGCTTAGCATAAAACGCAGTAAGCGAATGGATCCAACTAGCATTGTGGGTTGAAAAGTCCTTAAACTCAGAGTCTCTCTTGGTCAGCTTTCTTCTCACGCCAAACCCAAAGCCTACTGGTTGTGCAGCACCAGGCTAAAGACCAAAGGTGACAGATCATTTGCTGCTGTGGCCCCCAGACTCTGGAACTCTCTCCCCCTGGGCCTGAGATCAGTGGACTCAGTGGTCTCCTTTAAAAAGCAGCTGAAAACACCTATTCAGACTGGCTTTGGTGTGACCATCATCACCACCCTCTCCTTATTCTGTTCTTTCTACTAAAGTTTAAACATAGTCATCATCGCACAGTGAAATTCACCTCCTCATTTGACCCATCCCCATGGAGGGTAGCGGTGAGCTGCAGCAGTGGCTGCGCTAGGGAACTATTTGGTGGTTTAACGCCCCAATCCAACCCCTTTAAGCGGAGTGTCAAGCAGGGGGGCATTGGATCCCATTTCTAAAGTATTTGGTATGACCCGACCGCGAATCAAACCCCGATCTCCCAGTCCCAGGGCGGACACACTACCATTAGACCACTGAGCTGGTTTTATTCTGCTTTTCCAGGGATCCACCGATTTCTCTCTTTCCTATTCATTTTCTTTCTCCCTTTCCTAACATTTTTTAATAAATCATTTTTATATTTTACATTTTTTGTTTTTGTGAAGCGCTTCATGATTTTTATCTTGAGAGGTGCTATATTAACGATTTTTTCCTTTCTTTACAATAACTCAGCAGGGATCTCAATTCTGCTTGGCGACCTAAATGATCAGACTGACTACAAGTGAAAATAATTAGTAACATAAAGGAACCACGGGTGCCATTTTAGATTTGGGACTACTTTATGACAACGCACAGCTGTAAGCTTCCACTGGCAGTCCGAAAGACGCATGCTTCTGTAAACACAGAGGACCTTTTTACTCACAATGCTAGTTGGATCCATTCACTTACAGTGTTTTATGCTAAGCTAAAGCTAAAGGAGTACAGCCGGGTCAGGAGAATGACTGGGCTGGTTAAAAATAGTTTTTTTCCATCTTGTCTATCGCTGGGAAACGTGTCAACGGACAAAATTACAATTTCACTTTAAAGATCACAGAGAAGATGGTGGAGAGAAAACATCCTTTGAGTAAAATCTAGGAGGTACCGATTGCAACTTTTCACATTATTTTCAAGCTAACCATTATTTTGGAGAATGATAATCAAATATAAATGAAATATATTTCCTGCATAGATTTTTCATCTCCGTTGTAGAAGGACAATGATCCTCAAGCTACAAAAAGATTAAACACTGACTTTTTCGAATAATGACTCGGTATTTCAGCACTCTTTCCTCAGAGGCTTCTGTCAGAGGGTAAGCGCCAGTGTTTGAATACTTAGTTTTATGACCGGCTATTGCCCTCTTCATGTCAAGTGGTATCATAAACATTTTTATTGTAGCGACAGTGGAAATGATGTCTCATAGTTTAACGAACTACTAGATTACTAAATAGAAACCAACCTTTGACCCACTTGTGTTGATGGGTTGTGATTTCTGTTCAGATCAACAGCAAAAAAAAAGAGTCCGCATGGGAGTTCACCAAGAGCCTGTACGACGCCTGGTCCGGCTGGCTGGTCGTGACGCTCACCGGCCTGGCATCAGGTAGTAAACTCTCCTCTGCTGGTGACTCACATGCTCTGCCTCCAGGCTCTTTCTGCTCCATCTCTCTGTTTTCTGCTGCACGTCTTTTATGAGCATTCCTCACAAGTCGGTCCTGTAGAGCCTCACCAAACACACTCCAGTCGTTTTAGACACAATCTGACCAGAAGGGACCATAACGGAGAAAATCTGTGAGCGTTTTTTGACATCTGTGTCGGTAATTTAGTAGTTTCCTCATGTTACTGGATAGCCTGACACATTTAAGCCTTTCTTGGTTAAGACCAGATTCTGACTGGGTTGGGACTCGTTGAAATGACACTGCAACAACACTTGTGTTTTATATATGACCAGGGCGTATGATGAAAATGCAAAATGTAGTCAGTTTTGTCTATTCTTACATTTATTAGATCAAAGTAACAAAAAGAAGCTGGTTTAAGGGTTCCTGTTGCCTGACGTCTGTCCTCTCCTGTCTCCGTCCCCCTGCTAGGGGCTTTGGCTGGCCTGATTGACATTGCTGCCGATTGGATGAATGACCTGAAGGAGGGCGTGTGTCTCAGCGCCATGTGGTTCAACCACGAGCAGTGCTGCTGGACGTCCAACGAGACCACCTTTGCTGAGAGGGACAAGTGTCCGCAGTGGAAGAGCTGGGCTGAGCTAATACTGGGGCAGGCTGAGGTAGACGAAATGTTTCTGCTGCCAAAAAACAAACCAAGGCATCAAATATCTAGTCCTCTCAAAGTTTGACTGTTCCCCCAGATGTACACTCATCATTTTTGACTTCTTCCTCTCCCTCTCTGCAGGGCCCCGGCTCATATATCATGAACTACTTCATGTACATCTACTGGGCTCTGTCCTTCGCCTTCCTGGCCGTCTGTCTGGTCAAAGTCTTTGCTCCGTACGCCTGTGGCTCAGGGATTCCTGAGGTGAGGAGAACGTTGGTAACGCAGCTTTCTAACGGCCCTTTGAAACGTCTGTTAAAGGTTAATTTTCAGTTAGAAATCTTAACAGACCGCTAGATGTTATACCAAACCGAGCAAACATCTTCAGAGCTCTTTAACTGTAGTACCTGTTGGGAACCAAGCACTAAGTTCTGCTCCTCCAGATCAAGACAATCCTGAGCGGGTTCATCATCCGGGGCTACCTGGGCAAGTGGACGTTGATGATCAAGACCATCACCCTGGTTCTGGCTGTGGCTTCTGGCCTCAGCCTGGGGAAGGAAGGACCCCTGGTCCACGTGGCCTGCTGCTGTGGGAACATCTTCTCCTACCTCTTTCCAAAGTACAGCAAGAACGAAGCCAAGAAGCGAGAGGTGAAAATAGGATATTTAAGCACCGTGTGACTACCTTGGAGTCCATGTGGTTGTTTTTTAGTGGTGCGTTTAAACACCTGTTGATGTTTTTGTTTGCTCCTCTCAGGTTTTGTCTGCTGCCTCGGCTGCTGGGGTGTCCGTTGCTTTTGGAGCACCAATTGGAGGAGTTCTCTTCAGTTTGGAGGAGGTGCGTCTGCTCACTGTTAAAACGCTCCTTATGTAACGTAAACCATTAATCACCCATCTTTCCTCCAGGTGAGCTACTACTTCCCTCTGAAGACTCTGTGGCGCTCCTTCTTTGCTGCCCTGGTGGCAGCCTTCGTGCTTCGCTCCATCAACCCTTTTGGGAACAGCCGCCTGGTTCTGTTCTACGTGGAGTACCACACGCCGTGGTACATCTTTGAACTCCTCCCATTCATCCTCCTGGGGGTGTTCGGAGGGCTCTGGGGTGCCTTCTTTATCCGGGCCAACATCGCCTGGTGTCGGAGGCGAAAGTCCACGCGTTTTGGCGAGTACCTCCCTGCCCTGGATTTGGATCATACATCAGATTCCGTGTAATTGTAGTTGCTCGTGTGACATGTGACTATGTTCTCTCTCTTCAGGTAAGTACCCAGTGCTGGAGGTGATCCTGGTGGCAGCCATCACAGCAGTGGTCGCGTTCCCAAACCCGTACACGCGTCAGAACACCAGCGAGCTGATAAAGGAGCTGTTCACTGACTGCGGCCCGCTGGAATCTTCACAGCTCTGCCAGTACCGCAGCCAGATGAACGGCAGCAAAGCGTTCACTGACAACCCGAACCGGCCAGCGGGGCCCGGCGTCTACTCCGCCATGTGGCAGCTGTGCCTGGCCCTCATCTTCAAAATCATCATGACTATATTCACATTTGGACTGAAGGTAATACCTGCTGGACCTATCCCAGGAAGACTGTTGGATTGTTAACAACTGTAAAATAAAACGACTCACTTTCTCGGCCGTAGGTACCGTCGGGTTTGTTCATCCCCAGCATGGCCATCGGGGCGATCGCAGGGCGAATCGTCGGCATCGCCATGGAGCAGCTGGCCTATTACCACCACGACTGGTTTCTGTTTAAAGAGTGGTGCGAGGTGGGAGCTGACTGCATCACTCCCGGGCTCTACGCCATGGTAGGGGCCGCAGCGTGTCTGGGTAGGTCATTTAGGCTGCTGCGTCTACAATTACAGTCCAAAGTTTATATTCACTCATCCTGAACATGAAAGTCAGTTTGAATAATTCTTTATCTAAGGTTAGACTAATAAAGCAACACTTAAGTTTTTTTATTCTCTGCCCTACTGGTTGAAACTGGAATTACAACTGTCATAAACAACCCTGCTGCAGCCTGCTGTAAGTAGCGCTAACAACGAGCTAACGCTAGCATGAGCCAACTAATACTAAAGTAAATCACGAAGTAGAAAGATCCACACTGTTGGACAACAATATTATTACTTACAAGTCCAGTAGCAATAAAGCCAGGTCACCATCGGTCTGTTATTTTGTAGCCTCCTTTAGCTCCCCCAAACTAGTGTAGGCCACACCGATGTTCTCTCTGGTGTTAGCTCTTTGCTTGATCTCCAAAGATATTACTCTCTGACTTTTACTTCCAGGCTTCGCCACGATGCCAACAGATAAACAAACTGCTTCTCCTTCTTCTCTTTTTATTGATGATTGGCAAACTTAAAAAGCTAACTGCTAGTCTTAATATTAGCTGCCAACAGAGTAAACCGCTATTGCCACAAAGCAGGTAGAGATCTCCCATTAGCAATCCTACTAGAGGCCGACCAATATGGATTTTTTTAAGGCCGATGCGGACACAGATTTTTAAAGAATTTTGTTGCAGATGGCCGATATCTAAAGCCGATTATTAGGCCGATATATACATTTTAGCGTCACATTGACTGTAAAAGACAACTGAACACCCACTATGTGCAATATAAATTAAATAAGTAAATAAATATCTTAATATTTATTGAACATCAATTATTAAACTCAAAACATTTTACAAAACTCTAGTTCCTACCTGAACCACGAAACGGCTAAGTGTAGTTTCTGGTCAGCAGAGGGCAGCAGAGTTATGTTCCGTATGAAGTTTCTTGAGTTTCTGGTTCAAAAATAACTGAAACCAGTTTAAAAGCAATACCTTATAGTGTTAGAAACTCTTTAGTGATGCTTACAAGATGAGGAAAGCTAAAAACACAGCCATTTGTTAAGCATGGTGGTGGCAGCATCATGCTGTGGGACTGGTTAAGACCTTCTTACCTGTAATTAGTCTAGAATCTTCTGGTGTTATTTTCTCTTTCTGTCTTTCTGGTCATTTTTACTACAATGTATTTGTGGGAGATGTTGTATTATTTAGATTGGAACTACTCTTGTCCTTCCCTAGGGGGTGTCACACGAATGACTGTCTCCCTAGTCGTCATTGTGTTCGAGCTGACCGGTGGTCTGGAGTACATCGTCCCCCTCATGGCTGCCGTCATGACCAGCAAATGGGTCGGGGACGCATTTGGACGAGAGGGAATCTACGAGGCCCACATCCGTCTGAACGGGTACCCCTTCCTGGACGCTAAAGAGGAATTCACACACACCACTTTGGCCAGGGATGTGATGAGGCCCCGCAGCAGTGACCCGCCGCTGGCGGTGCTGACACAGGATGACCTGACAGTGGAAGAGCTGCAGAGCGTCATCAATGAAACCAGTTATAATGGTTTCCCAGTGATCGTGTCCAAGGAGTCTCAGAGACTGGTGGGCTTCGCCCTACGCAGGGACATTACTATTGCTATAGGTAAAGCTGCACGCCCGTTTTAGGAGCTTCTTTAATTTGATAACTTTATTTGTTTTTTAATTGACGAAATGTCAAATATTCTTATATTTATGCTTTTTTATGACAGAAAATGCTCGTCGTAAGCAGGAGGGCATCTTGTTGAACTCCAGGGTGTACTTCACCCAGCACGCCCCCACCCTGCCGGCCGACAGCCCCCGACCCCTAAAGCTGCGCTCCATCCTGGACATGAGCCCTTTCACCGTCACAGACCACACCCCCATGGAGATCGTGGTGGACATTTTCAGAAAGCTGGGGCTGCGCCAGTGCTTGGTCACACACAACGGGTAAGGATGGGATGAGGTTGGCAAATGAACAAATAAAAGCCCTCATGTACACACTGGCTGGTGTTGCATGGCCTCCCAGCATGAGTCGGTCTAATCACTGTGCTGCACTTCCTTTTGTCTCTGCTCTGAGCCGGCAGACTAAAAAATAAACTAATCACAAACACACAACTGCTGCCATGGTAGAAGAATTAGATTCTTGGTGCCCTCCTGGTCTAGTTTGGTGTTTTTCTATTGGTGTCTTAGTTTGCTGTGACGTCTGGAGATAAACAGAGCAGCAGCTTTTAATTTGTTGTTTATTTCTGTTTTATTTCTGGTTTTCAGTGATGACCGTAGAAAGATAAAGTAGTTCCACACTTATTATTATAACATGAACCTAATTTACATCTTTTTGAGTAATTTTATTTCATTTTAACATCAGATTTTGTTTATTTTTGTTCCATCACTTTGTTTAGTATGATTTGTGCTGCTGTTTGTTTTCTCTGTGCCTCCTTTTTTTGTGTTTATTTGTTTTTGTTGTCGTGTCCAGTCTGCCTAGTAACAGGTGTGTGTTTCAGGATTGTGTTGGGCATCATCACAAAGAAGAATATTTTAGAGCATCTGGAGGAGCTCAAGCAGCACACGGAGCCCCTGGTGACTAGCCCCGCCCCTTTCACACATGTGACCTTTAACCCCCCTCCCTTCACTATCACACCTTTCTCTTTGGCCACAACTCTCAGAACGGATGCATGAAAAGTGGTGTGAACCCCTCTTGACAGTTCCCAAAGTAATATTAGGGCTCTCCTCCTTCTGTCTCACTTCACACCCTTCCTGTTGGTGGGTTGGTTTGTTGTTGAGAAACACCTTCAGATAGATGCTCTCTGACCTACATGTGTGTAGTTTGTAGCTGCTCTGGTTTTATTGGTCTCGCTGTGTGAAGTCTTAATGGTGATTGTGGGTCCAGTACTGTTTACCACAGTGGGAACTGTCACCCTCATCACCTGAGAGCCCCTTTCAGGCCTGATTTATGTATATTTTTATTATCTGTGACTCTTCTAACACTTGAACACACATTATTTATGTTTTTGTAAACATAACGGCCATAGCTTTGCAAAAGTTTCATAACACCAAATAAATAAAACTCCACATCCCATTAATTCCACAAGCTTTTTATTCAGAATGACCTCATGTGCTGCATGAAAAAGACACAACAAAGCATAAATGAAATACTTTAAAAGCTCAAGACCAACCTAAAGTTACTGATTTCTAATTGTTTTGCTTTAAACAAATCATTATGTGTAAGGTTGGGTGATTGGACAAATACATCGACCATCGATGATAGACATTCACCGACCGTTTTATAAGATTTCTTTTTCTAAGTCATAAATTAATCTCGTGGACAGGCTGTTGCACACTTCCAGCTCAAATCAGCATCATTTTTGCAACACTCAATGTACATATACATAATATACATGATTAGGAAGCTGTGATTCTTGCAATTCCAGTGATATATGCCAATCTAGGATGCTATCATAACTGTAGGCACGGTAAACTTTTTAGTCAAACCATGCAGAATCCAAAATAATGTCCAGCTCGTATCATATCATATTGACGAACCAGAGCCATCTGCAACAAAAACAAACTTTTTACATCCACAAGGGTCCAATTAAAGTATTTCAATAAAATGGTTCGTCCACAACAAGTCTTCCGTCCACACATAATACTGGTGAAAACATAAAACTTACCTTCAGGTGTCTCTTTTGCACGTTTTCATCATAACCTTTGTTAGCATCCTTACATTTCCTTCAAACTTCTGATAAACGTTTTACCTGTTCCAACAGGTGAAGGGTTACACCCCCTCTGCTGGGGCTAAGTCTTCAACTGTCAGTCGATAGGTCAGAAGGACCGCCCCCATTCTCACTTCTGTAGATTAAACCAATTGTGGTGCAGTATATTATTGACTGGCATATCCAATAACCAATGACATTTAGTAAAAACAGCTGGTTAATTAAGGACCTCTGTGGTCTGCTTCTGCAAACTGATTAAGAATGATCGTGATTATATAAAAGTCACTAGTGTAAATATGTCACTCATCGTCATTTGTTAGATTGATTAATAATTTTTGGAAACGTTTTTACATATCGCCCAACTTCAATTATAACCAATATGTATTAAATGCGAAGGACTGATTGGGGTTATTTATTAGGTTGAGATAGTTCATAGAAAAACTATGTATATAACTGTTTATTATCAGTATATAGTGATCAGATACAGTGTGCTGTCTAATGATGGACCCAAGTAAGAGCACATTAAACAGAAGAGGACCAAGAATCAACCCAGGTGGTACTCCACGTCCATGTAGGTTTCGTTTGAGTTACTGGTTCAAAGTGACTCATATCTCTATAAATCCCATCATTTCATTAGCTCATCATTCCTTTAGCTTTCTCTTGACTGTTAGTCACGTCACGAGTCAAAGAAAGCTGCTATTGAAGCAGGTTTTTCTATCTGAAAGGGGCTCAGCTAAACAGTCTTAGTGCAGCTTTGCATCTCGTCCCATTCAACTACATTAAACGGTAACTCTGCTTAGCGCTGAGTCAGCAGCTTCATGCTAGCACCCCACACCCACTCGTTGTGCCCAAAATTATTCAAATTTGATTGATTGGTTTTATCTGGCTGGAATAAGCAAGTAAAAAATTGCTTCTTTTTATTCTTAAAACATCCAAAGTCATCTACTCCTAAGTAACCGATCATCGATCTTGTTTTTTCACTTGCCACTGCCGATCAAAACCTACGAATCAAATAAAAGGTCCCCTTGAAGGGTGTGAATATATCTGGGCTGAATACAGTAATCATGGCAAAGCATGTCTGCAGTCAAAAACTCACGATTCCTTCCACCCTTTCATCACAACAGCAGTTCATCACTTCATTCTCAAATGTACTCACCTGCGGATTTCTGTCTAAGTTAACGTATGGTCTTTCCTTTTATTTATTTTTGTGCATGACCCAACCATTTCCCGGGGGTCTCCGCAGATCGACGGCATCAACTAAACAACAACTTGGCGAGTAGTTAGCCGCCTTGGGAAAGCGGATCATAGTTTTCTTTTACTACAAAGGGGGGGATGATCTGTAGAAATCTGATATTTCCCTCCACCTGTAGTGTTGATGCGTGTGTTAAGAGTGTCGAGTGCTGCCAGTAGCTGTAGTTTAGCTCATCAGTGTGTGATTTTTGATGGGGTAGCTCTCATCCTTTAACCTGCCAGTGTTCCCATGAGCCAGCAGAGTCCGATCCTTCTCAATTTAGTCATGTAAAAGTTCATTACTGTCGCACAGGTATTTGAACAGATGTTTATCTTTTATTTGATTGCTTGTTAAAATTAAGCTTTGTTGATTTAAAAAAGTTCTAGCAGTTTTTTACAAAAAATGTGGTTTTTTCCTTTGCGACATTTTTTCAATTTGTATTTGATTAACGTGATAATACAATTCTGAGAGACTCCAAAATGAAACGACGCAAACGAGTAAACAATAGTTAGCTCTAATTCATTTTCAAACTAAATTAAAGGTGCAATAAGCAAGAACTACAGTGAAATAATCACAAAACAGTCTGTCTCAGTCATGTTGGAAGGAAGTTTACACAGAAACAGATTTAATTCTCAACCAGCTGAGGGGTTGTCAGTTTTACTCAATTTAAAAAAGCCAGGGATCTGTCTCACCTCCATACTTTCTAGCTCCAAAACTGTTCATATTCGGCCATTCACCACCAGTTACCACAAATACTTGATTAGTCCTAACTGATCTGTTGAGTCTTATTTCCTATGCTGGCCTGGATTAGAGGGCTGGATTCTGCTGGTGTCAGTGGGAACACTGATCTGATCTGTTGCTGGTGTCCCAAACCCGGTCTGATCTGTGTCAGCTGTTACCAGTACCCCCCTCTACTGTGGCTGTAACCACCTACCCTCCATTACACATACACCGCTTAAATCCAGACCTCGGTTCAAATGTTCGCTCCTGTGTGCTTCGAGGCTTCAAATGATTACATGAATGAAACCCCTTGTGTGGACCTTTTGGATCCAGCTCCACTGTGCTAGCCTGGCTTCAGATGATCCTCCTCACCTGACACCAAATCCTACCTCGCGCTCTGATCATTACTAATGTTTAAGCACATTAACAGTCAGCTGAGTGTACCCTGACTCTGGTAGCATCTCCTATCCTAACACTTCTCTTGCTCTAGTTCTTCCTGTTTCCTGTCATTCCAGCTCTTCCTTGTCTCACCATCTTTTTGAGCTGAAGATAAAAGGTCATGGTAGTGTCTGAAACGTCACCCTTTGAGGAAGCGGGTGTTGTTTCTGCTCTGCTTCCACCCCTTCTCCTAACCGCTGCTTCTCTGGGGGAATTGTGTTTTTGTTGGTGTTGATTTTATCCTTTTTAATCCAATAAATCTAATAAAAATCCTCATTATTCCAAAGGTTGCCAACAAAAACACGAGGAGTTGTTTTCTCTCCTGCATTGCTCTTCTTCACATCCCTAAATCCGTTCATCCTCTTTGTCTCCCCCTGCAGGCGCCTTCTTGGTATTATCACAAAAAAAGATATCCTTCGTCACATGGCTCAAATGGCGAACCAAGATCCAGAGTCCATCATGTTCAACTGATATGCTCCTTCCAGGACGGCAGGAGGGAGGAGGACGAGGAGGAGGTGTGCCTCCTGAACGGCTCTAACCTCTGACATACGGACCTGTTTTGTTTTGTTTATTTTTTGTCATGTTAGCGTTCCGCTATGTGGACCCTAAACCTCACTGACTGTGGTTTCCAGAGACTAACGGGCCACAGGAAGGACAAAAGGATGATTGAAATAAAAAACTGTTATCATCTGGCTGCTGAAGAAACACTAAAAGGTCAAGTGTTGAAGGCACACACACACACACACACACACACACACACACACAATGCACTTTTTACACACAGAAAAACACACTTTTGCACTTGCAGACACCTCAAACATGCATGCTGTCCCACCACACACACCTGAGACTCCCTCACCTGAAATGCTACACCCATTATTTGCACTCTTTGTGTGCCTCGCCTGGCTGGGGTCAAAGGTCAAAATGAACCGCAAACGAGGGAAGCGATGAGGGACCTTGAAGCCTCCTGGTTCACGCACACACACTCACCTCTGACCTGCCCGTCTTCTGGAAAAAACTGTTTACGTGTGTGTGTGTGTGTGTGTGTGTGTGTGTCTCACCTTCACATTCCAGCCAGATTACCGTGGAAACGAGATATTTCAACTGGTCCACACAGGGCTTGAGGTGTGTGTGTGCGTGTGTGTGTGTGAGAGTAAAAGAAAGGTATTGAAGTAGTGTTGGTACTGTATTTTCGTTACAAAAACATTCGCTTTCTAAAGGAAGAAATGCAAAAAGTTAAATTTCATTTTTGAGCCAATATCAGGTGTGTGTGTGTGTGTGTGTGTGTGTGTGTGTGTGTGTGTGTGTGTGTGTGTGTGTGTGTGTGTGTGTGTGTGTGTGTGTGTGTGTGTGTGTGTGTGTGTGTGTGTGTGTCCAGTCAATTTCTTATGAAGGCAGGGTGAGTTTATTCATGGATTATAAAACTAATCAGTCTGAGTGAATAGTTGCATCCTGAAGCAAAACTAAACTGGAAATCCATTTTAAACTGGTCCAAGTTGTTAAACCAGAAGAACCATTATGATTAAGCATCAGACTGACTTTGTTTCTGCTGTTTTCCAGAAATGACATCTTAGACATCAAGAGGCAGAACTCCAGGTAGCTAAATGATCGTTTATCAGGATCCTCTGATTTTACAGCATAAAGGCTTTTTTGGCACCTGAACGCACCACTGTAACAGAAACTGTTCAGGCTGTTGTTCAGTTTAATACTTGAATTAATCCTCGTTTCATTGTATCCGTCAACTTAAACTAATGGTTCAAGTTTTACTGTTTGATCTAAAGATGTTAAAAATGAAGCAAAAATAACCAACGTTCCAAATGTAATCACATGAAATGTAATCACGTGACATGACGACATGAAATGAAGTTACCCAAGTGCTTTAACTTGGCTTTTAAAAACATCCCTGTAGTTTCTGAAAATGATGTTGATTTGATCAAAAAACGAGAAGAAACAAGCTGCTTTCAGGCTGATTTGATGCTTTATCATCAGCTCACTGATTAGCTAAAAGTTGGAGGAAAAGGAAGCGCCTTTACCTGTGAAGTGTGTGTGTGTGTGTTGCCCGTGACTGCCCTGCTGAGGTCCAACAGGAAACGGAGCATCATCCTCGTCCACCAGTGGTGTTGCCTAACATTGTGTTTCATACTGATCTCAATGTTTTTCTTCATTTTCTAATTCATGGGTAGTGTCAATAGAGTTGTGAATTATTATTATTATTATTATTATTATTGCACAGAATTTTATGTATGATTACATTGTTTGATTGTACATTAAAAGAGAAATATGTAAAGAAAAATGTTTTAAATTAAAAGGAGAAAATGTTCAAGCTGCACAGGTGAGTCTTAGTTTGTGGTCAGAGTCAAGCGTCTACCAGGTTATTAATTAGTTATTATAAATGTATTTTTGTGAGAAACAGTACTACGAATCCTGACTCCGTAACACCAGATGATTGAGCTAATTAGTTTAAAACATTTTATTTAAATGAATGGCTCTAACCGAACAACCAAATGAGGGGAATATGTCAGACATGGGACAACACACCAGTTTAAGATGATCAGTATATCCCATGGAGGTTCCTTTAAAGAGCAAGTCACCCCCTACTAGATTTTTACTCAACTCTCACTTCCTGTTTGAAAAATGCAACAAATGCTGTTGCCTAGCAGACAGAGAGGGCGTAGTCGCTAACAAATACACACACACACACACACACACAGGCTCACAACGACATTGTGGCATCATATGGTACCAGCTAACGTCCTAGGGTACCTCTTAGCCAATAGCGATGGCAGATTTAAAGAGCAAGTCACCCCCTACAAGAAACTTACTTCACTCCCACTTCATGTTTGAAAAATGCAACAAATGCTGTTGCTTGGCAGACCGAGAGGGCGGAGCCGCTAACAAATACACACACACAGGCTCACAATGGCATTATGACATCATAATATACCAGATGACATCATAGCATACCTCTTAGCCAATAGCGGTGGCAGATTTAAATTCAAATACAGTGCAGAATTTTTCCCTGACGACGGCGCAACACTGACCGTTTTAGGCAGAATATTTGAATTTTAACCAAGATGCACTGAACTGCCAAATTATTGACTACACGTGTCTGTAGCATGATTAGACACTCCTTTATATAGTTTATCAGCAAAAAAAATGTGATCTGGGGGTGACTTGCTCTTTAAATTCAAATGCAGTGCAGAGTTTTTACCTGACAACGGCACAACACTGACAGTTTTAGATAGAAAATTTAAATTTTAACTTAAATGCACTAAAGTGCAAAACGTGACTACATGTGTCTGCAGCACAATTAGACCAATTTATATAGTTTATCAGAAAAAAGTTGATATGGAGGTGACTTGCTCTTTAACATAAGCTATTTTGGGGACCCTTCGTACAAAAAAATGACTGATTAATATGTCATTAAAATTATAAATTTAAAAAGTCAAATTTTTTTACACAAATTCCATCCTTAGCTTCAGGCCTCACCAAACAGTAAAATATTTGTTTTTGAGATTTAACCCCTTTGGGGCCATGTTTTATAAAAAAAAATAAAAAATAAGATTTAATCAGTTTTTGTGTGTTAAGTCCAGAGGACGTGTTTTGGGGTGAATTGTCGGGGCTTTGGAGAGTCACAAATGGGCATAAAAATATTTTTTGTGTAGTGTCAGATATTCAGAAAAACTCACTCTGGTCCCTACGCACAATAAGTACATTGTAGGAGTAGTAGTAGTATATTTCTTTCAAACATGTGCATACACCTTCAGTACAATTCATCCTTCCAGTCACGTGTTTGAAATGGAGTAGGCAGAAGTAAACACGCATTTAGCCCCACCCCCACAGTGTGTTTGTCATTCCACACAAGCTAATATGAGGTTTGTGATTTACAAATAATGAAAAGAGAAAAAAAATAAACAATACAAACCAAAACATCACTTCAATTACAATTCACCCCCTTTTCCTCATTCATATGTTTAATATTTGTTTTTTATATCTTGTTTTAAACTGGTAAATATTAATACTTTATTTCATTTCTTCAGCCAAACTATTCCATAATTTCACTCCTAGCAAAAGGTCAAATTAAAATATATTTCAAAAGTCAATTTTTTTTTAACACAAATTGTGTCCTTAGCTTCAGTCCTCACCGTAGTAAAACTGTGTGTGTGTATGCGGGTGTTATAACCTCAGATAAACATGACTCAGCATCCTCATGCAAACACACAAAAGCTTCAGACTTTTATTTTGACTGTTTCAGTAGATTTTTCTCTGGATGCAGGATCAACTTTCTGTCCAAAGGTGGAAACACTTTAAAAGATGAAAAAAATCATTTTGTTATAAAAACACAACAAAGTGACTTTGAATGAAACTGATCTATGATCAGCTTTTGTTCCAGGAAACCTGAGTCACATGATCAGAACTGCATCATCTTGATGCTCTGGTTAAAAGATGGAGACTTAATCTGACAGGAAGAGCAGAGCTGACGTGTCCAAACATTCAGTTTTCTTCTTCTTTATGACTCTATGTTCAGATTAGAGATGTTGTTAATAAAAGCAGAACATTCAAGTTTAAAATATCTTCTGTCAGTTAGTGACTTGTTGATAGCAGCATTTAAGCCAGAATAGAATCACTCCTGCAGGCTGTGGGTCCACAGTAGAGGGGGACACAGAAATGGATTTTCTTTGCTTTCCCAACTCACCACCATGGACAAAAAAAAATCCTCTTGTATTTGCAGCCATCGGCCCAAACTCCATGGCGGAGCTGCAGTTTCTCCTGTCGACTCTTAGCAGCGTGTTTCTGCTCATGGACTTCTGACAGATGGATGTTTCCATTTCTAGATCAGTGATCTTGTAGATGTTTGGATCTAGAGACTTGATGGAGACTAGGCTTTGTTGCATTGTGAACCGGAGAAAGGTGTTTGAGGAGTTAATAAAATCTTTGAATTCCTGAAATCCCTTCTGACTGCCTCTCCAGATCAAGAGTATGTCACCAATATACACTGCTCACAAGAATTAAAGGAACACTTTTTTTATTGGACCTGGCATGAAATCAATTAAACCTGTTTGATAATATCCTGGTTGATTAAGCAGCTGAGGGCATTGTTAATCACTTTCAGCTGTATTGGTGTTCATGGACTTAACGGCAGGTGCACTAAAGTGGCAACAATTAAAAAACCCTCAAAACAGGACTGGTTTAACGTGTAGAGGTCATTTCAAGTTTCTCCCTCTTGATCTTTTTCGGCTGGTTTTCCACTCGTGCTAGTTTTGGCTCTCTCCTGGCAGTATGAGGCGATTCCTTAACCCTACAGAAGTTGCACAGGTTGTCCAACTTCTCCAGGATGGCACATCCACACGTGCTGCAGCAAGAAGGTTTAATGTGTCTTCCAGCACAATCTCCAGATCATGGAGGAGATTTCAGGAGACTGGCGGTTATTCTCGGAGAGCTGGACAGGGCCGAAGAAGGTCCGCAACCCATCAGCAGGACCAATACCTGCTCCTTTGTGCAAGGCGGAACAGGCGGAGCACCGCTCGTGCCCTACAGAATGACCTCCAGGGGGCCACTGGTGTGAATGTCTCTACCCAAACAATCAGGAACAAACTTCATGAAGATGACCTGAGGGCCCGACGTCCTGTAGTGGGCCTGTGCTCACTGCCCAGCACCGTAGAGCTCGACTGGCATTTGCTCAAGAGCACCAGAATTGGCAAGTCCGCCACTGGCGCCCTGTATTTTTACAGACGAGAGCAGGTTCACCCTGAGCACCTGTGATAGACGTGAAAGAGTCTGGAGAAGACAAGGAGAACGTTATGCTGCCTGCAACGTCGTTCAACATGACAGGTTTGGTGGTGGGTCAGTGATGGTCTGGGGAGGCATATCCATGGAGGGACGCACAGACCTCTACTGCCTAGGAAATGGTGCTCTGACTGCCATAAGGTATCGAGATGGAATCCTTGAACCCTTTGTCAGACCTTACGCTGATGCAGCAGGTCCTGGTTTTCTCCTAATGCACGACAATGCCCGGCCTCATGTGGCATGAGTATGCAGGCAGTATCTGGAGGATGAAGGAATTGAAACCATTGAATGGCCTTCACGATCCCCTGACTTAAACCCAATAGAACATCTGTGGGACATCATGTTTCGGTCCGTTAGGCGACGCCAGGTTGCTCCTCAGACTGTACAAGAGCTCAGGGATGCCCTCACACAGATCTGGGAGGAAATGCCACAAGACACATCCGTTGTCTCATTAGGAGCATACCCTGACATTGTCAAGCATGCACACAAGCTCATGGGGCCACACAAGATACTGAAAAGCAATTTGAGTTGCAGAAATTACGTTTTTGAAATAATGGACTAGCCTGCCACATCTTCATTTCACTCCGATTTTAGGGTGTCTACACAATTGAGCCCTCTGTAGGCTGATGACTTTTATTTCCATTCAAAGACTTGGCATCCTTTTGTTCCTAACACATTGCCCCCCGTCATTATTTGTGTAGATATCCAACTTCATATTGAGATCTGATGTATCTAATGTGTTTCTTTAAAGTGTTCCTTTAATTTTTGTGAGCAGTGTATATCTTTCATGTGGGAATCTGCAGGAGAAATCTGCTGTTCCTGAATAAATGTATCTTCCCACAGTCCCATGGTGAGCCATGCATACGAGTGGTAAAGGTGCTTCCCATCGCTGTAGCTAGTATTTACAGATACAAATCGTCTAGGTCTTTAAAATAATTCTTAGAGAGAATTCTTCAGGAGATTTCAAGTAGAAACTGATCATGAGGCATGGAGTCAGGTGGCCGTTTCTGTAGAAAGTGGGAGAGAGCATCAATCCCTGCTGTGTGTGGGATACAGGTGTGTAAATTCTGGAGATCTAATGAGATCTGAATGTCACCCAGTTTTGCTTTGATAGGTTTAGGATGTCTGCAGTGTCCCCTACTAAACAGGGTAACTCTGAAATTCTGACCATTCATGTGGAACTGCCTGGCTCACCTGCCTTCTCGGACTTTGCTCCATTCATCTTGCTGACTTAGTGAAACTGATTAGCTTCATGAAGCCAGCTGGATCTTTGGTAGACTGCCTCCTGGCTAAATTGGTGCGCGACTCAGTGTCTGCACTGAGCCTGGCACTCATGAACATTTTTAACATTAGCCTCAGCACTGGAGTGTCCCCTAAGGTTTTTAAAGATGCGGGTCTTCAGCCGATATTGAAGAAACCTGGTCTAGATCACTCCATTTATGAGAACTTCCACCCTATTGTAACGGAATCAAAGTGATGTAACTAACCAAAGTTGTATTTTAATACACTGTTAGTAGTTCACTTTTATAAACAGAAGAATAG